CATGCCATCACAGTTTTTAAGGCTAAAGTCACATAAAATAAATTTGCTGAACCATCGTTGACACTTACGAACATTCAAAACATTTTCATAAACTTCTTTGATATTATTTGTGGCTATAGTGGCGTTGTTTCCTTTCTTGTATTCATACAGCATCACACGCTGAATGTGTGTCTAGTCGTGTGGCATCACTATAAGAGATTAGAGTATACTAAACTTTACACATTATATAGGCTTCACTAACGTGACGTTTAGGCGGTTCGTTTAACTATTATACGTGATGTACGTTTCTTTGATGGGGTGGTTAATGAAAGTGTTCGAAAACGCGACATTAATTTCTTGACGACCTAATATTACTTCTCCAACGTGTGATATCAAATATACATTTCAATAGATTCTGAACAAGGCTCATTCGAGAAGGGCCGGCTTTATCCACAAAACCTACAACTTATTTTTAGATCTACTACCCACCCCAATTAATTTGTGATGTTATAAAAAAACACGTGATTTCAAGAAGTCAATTTAACACAAAAATACAACACCCTCGGGTTATATGGTATTGTTTTTGTGTGTGAGTATTAAATTGACCCAATTAATTGTAATTTATTTTATTATAATTAGCGCGATCCCAAAAATAAATCCAATTTGTGCCGTGCGGAATCTACTTTAAATTTTAGCTCGGGGAACACGTTTTTTTTTTTTAACGTAATTTCCTAAATAAACGTAGATTATAGGTATATTCGCCATTTAAAAACTAAATAATAACTGTGCCCCTTCGAGAACTTGGAGTTACGAATGTTGGTTTCGGATATAATAATCTGCATACAAATACTGTTTTAAAATGAAACTTAATTAAGTTAAAGTAAAGAGACAAATATGAAGCTCTCGTTTTTTTATCTTTTCACCGAAATACATTTAACGTAGCTCATTCTTATTAATCCAAATAAAAATTTTGAAATTGCGTTTTGTGTAGTTTAATTGTAACACACTGCTTTTCATTATGAAAAGGCCCGGCATGGCCAGGTAGTTAGGGAGCTCGACTCGCAATCTGCGGGTCGCGGGTTCGAATCCCCATTCCACCAAACATGCTCGCCCTTTCAGCCGTGGGAGCGTTATAATGAGACGGTCAATCCCACTATTCGGTGGTAAAAGAGTAGCCCAAGAGTTGGCGGTGGGTGGTGATGACTAGCTGCCTTCCCTCTAGCCTTACACGGCTAAATTAGGGACGGCTAGCGCAGATAGCCCTCGTGTAGCTTTGCGCGAAATTCAAAACAAACAAACATCATTATGTAAATTAAATAATATTTCCTTATTGAGTAACAAAATTATCAAAACCTTCAAACTATTCATTATTCTTGTTGAATACAATTTAAATCTTTTTCGATGTTCACAAATACTTATTTCATACAGTATTGTTTTAATGTGTTCCATTGTTGAGTGGCCCGGTATGGCCAGGTGGATAAGGCGCTCG